TGCACTAATAAAATAATACAATAGACTATAAAAAAAAAAAAAAAAAAAAAAAAAAAAAAAAAAAAAGAAAAAAAAAAACTCCTTTACAATTATAATTCATACATAATATAATAGTAAATTTAACATTAATATCAAAATTTCTTTCGTCCATTAATGTTTCATTACATTTCTAGCTGTAGAGTGTAGCTCTGATAACGAATTATTTATATTATTTAAATAGTGCTCTTGTATTCGCTTACGAGCCTCGAATGTTTCCATCAATTGCACCCGATAAATGTAACCATAACGTTAATATATATAGTTTTGACGAATTTTAAATACGAGACTTGGTAAATATTAAATTGCTTAAAAAGTTTTAACTCACGATTAGACGTTTATTTTTTTATTACGTCACTGATATAAGCATAGGCAAAGCACATGTTTGCCAATAAATTATGACCATTTCCATTGTTTAAATATATTACCTATGGCATGCGATAAAGTGCTCTTGCAATTGATAAGCGTAATGTAATATTAAAAAAAAAAAAAAAAAAAAAAAAAAAAAAAAAAATAAAAAAAACACACATCTGTGTCTCACTCGGTTTTAGTAGAGACCGAAAATAATCAACCTGGGAGAAGATTTTTTTTCACAAGGCAAGCAAGTTGTCCGTCAGACAGCCGAAATGGCTTTTTATTTTTATGCATAGAAATAATGTTTATCTATATAATTCGAAGTTCTAGTTATTTCCGTAAATTTTAACGATGATTTCATCATATACTTAGTTAGATATTATTATTATTTTTTTTTTTATATTTATTTTCAACGGCCATTAATGCAGTGCCTTATTTATTATTTTCTAAGGTTTTGATAATCTACATAAATAAGCAATGTAAACAGTTAATTGAAAATTGTGTAATTGAACGTACTTTCACTAACAACTTGTAAGACTAATTTTTTGTTTGTTTTTAATAAATTCAATTTTGTTATTCGCATAAAGATTAATATAATGCTGATTTTATAAAAAGTTGAGTAAACGTTTTAATAGTCTTGTAATTATCAATAATCTTAATGTCAAATATATAATATAAAAGAAATTGTATTCACATTTTTTTTATTAATGATCTTAAGTCTTTAATCTATTTTTTTTTTTATAAATTTAGTCAAGGTAGTATATAAGTAATTTTACTAATACGTATTTAATTTGATTATACATTACGTGAGCACATATACAGTTATTGCATGATTTTTAATAAAAAAAAAAAATAAAAAAAAAATATAATATATATATATATATATATATATATATATATATATAATTGATAGTAATATAGCTGAATATGAAAATATTTTAAGTATGAAAAAATATGAATAGGTTGCTTTTTTAAGTCATATTCGTATGTTATCATACTCATGCATAATACTCGCATTAAATCCAATATTTTATTTATTAACATATTTGTCACGTTCTAATAGAGTTTTTATTGCTTTGATAATCATATTTTTATGTACACGTGTGTGCGTGCACGTTCATGCCCGTACATGTGTATTTCATTTTGCATAAATTGTTATTAATGTTTAATAGATGAGGTTGATGTACAAGAGTTCATAAATTATTTTGAATAGACATCAAATATTTAATAAATTTATGCTTCGAATTATTTAATAATATACTATTAAAAAAGAAAAAACAAAAAATTAAAATAAATTTACCAACTTTAGGCACCAATATCAATACGTGTATACTCATGCAGATTAATGTCAAATATAAGGTTTCCATAGAAATTGCTAATGTTAATATTGCTGTAGCAGCACACTAATGCAGTATGTGTTAACAAAGTTAACTGTCAAAAGCTACTAACGAATATTAATTTTATTATCATCTTCCCAGAAATCTGTATAATAATAGAAATTCGTGTATGCTGAACTGTAATATATAGGTCACTTATTCCAATTCGCCAATAGAGCAAGTGAGTTTATTAATAAGTTTATCCTTAGAGACCATTGAATACTACTTTTTAAGTATATTTTTACAATATAAAGCCAACGTACTAAAAATACAAAATAATGTAGAAATTTCCTATAATTTTCATTTACATGCTAAGAATCGTAAAAGTTTATAATTTAAAAATTCTGGCAGCTTGAGTATCGTTTGATTAAAATAGTCTCTAAAATTTAAAATATTTGCTAATATTATTAAAAATAAATAAATAAAAATATAACCAGAATAATCAAACTTTTCTGTTTAATGAGAAGGAAAAAATTTGCAAAAAAATATTGTGGTACAATGGAGTGTCTTGTATTATTCAACAAAATGATATTGGATATCGAGTCTCTAAGAATTCCAAATACATTGCTATATTATTATTATTTATTCTTATATTATATTACTAGATTAATTTATCATAGAAATCATTCAAATTAAAACTACAATTAACAGTAATTAATTTGTGCGACTCACAAGTTCATTTGATTATCAGCGCTAAAGTGTTACTTTTATTCTTATCCTTTCATGACAGATCTATGCAGGATATGAGCTCATAGTCTATTTTTTCATGGTTACATTGGATATATATATATATATATATATATATTTTTTTTTTTTTTTTTTTTTTTTTTTTTTTATACTTATCATACGTTCAACTAATTCACTGCGTACTATTTCTTGAAATTTCATAGTAGCTGGTTATACATAACAGCCAAGTTTTATATTTTTTTAAAGTAAAAATTTATTTATAAATAAGATGCTTTCCTCCTTATTCTTTTTCATACAATTTCGACAATTCTAATTTAAACTATTATCTGTCGTTAGATCTATACAGTATATACTTCTGAAAATTGTAACTAAACAATTTAAAACATTATGTTCTTACGAAATTTTGACGATGAGTATTTGTTTTAATCCATTGTGAATTTAAAAAAAAATTTTTCTCATTTTTTTAACTCACCAACACATATTTATATTAATTTAACTAACTTATAATATAAAAAATAAAATTCTTTGATACGTTTTTTTTTTTATCCTCGGTGAATTGTGATTATTATTTTGCATTGTATATAACTCAACTTAAAAATTTTTTTAATTAAGTACATACCTACGTATGCTTCAAGTATTAGTTAGGGAATTAATTTTTCTCTTCATTCTGCTTTCTAAGCTTCAAATACTCTTAAATCGTTTTATTACATAATTGATCTAATGGCTCGAATTCGCGCTAAAGCAACTGATAATGATGTTTGCATTATAAAACAATAATTTCTCAAATAATATTTTGCATTTATTATATAAACAATGTTTTTACGTCCCGATTGTACTTTGAAAAACAATAAATACTTTCAATTATATTTCTAAACAATGAATCCTTTATAATAGTTAACGATAAATTGTCATCGATCGATTTAACCTCCATCAACGTTGATACTTTATTTCAATTTATTGAAAAGCCTATTCCTAAATTACGTTCAGTGGTCGCAATGCACAAGAAAGTAAAGTTACCAAAAGCTATCTGATTATAATTAATCTAATAATCTTGATTCCTCGATAGCGAATCCATCAAGTAGATATTGACGCTTTCACTTGTCATCCGACCGGCAATATCTTGAAACATAAATATTCCAGAATGTACAAGTATATCGTAAGGATATCCTGATAGATTGTTGTTTATATAATGTGTCGCGCGATTTCTTTTAAAAAATTTAAAATCAAATAGAGCATTCAATTTTCACAATACAATATGAACAATAAATTCAGACTAAATATTCTACTAAACATCACTAATTCTCAGATGTACAAAAAACATTGCACCTAACTCTGATTCATATCGGTCATACTCTTCATACATTCATGGCTATTTTATTTTTGTATATCGCGACTGTATAAATATCCGCATAACAAAAATGAAAATTTACTCTTAGTATTAAGGATTTTATATTGAAAATAATATTTTCGTGGCCGTAAGATACATTCCACCCTTTAATTTTTATTTTTTATTATCTTATTTTTTGTTTTTTTTTTTGCTTTATCAGGAACTAACTTATATTCGTATATTAATTTTCGAATTATAAAATGATGAAATTCATTAACATTGAAATTAATTTTCTTACATAACATCAATAGCTATAAAAATAACGCATAAAATCATTTTAATCTTTTAGCAGAAAAAAAAATCAAATAATGAACTAATACTAATTATTATTATAATCAAATTTTTTTTTTGATAAAAATTACGTTGAAGATATTTTGTTCTTATAAAATTCTTGAATTTGAAATAAATTAGCCATTTTTTATCTTCAATTTAAATTATAATAAAAATAAATGTGAGTTTATTAATAATTACGATATATAGTATGTAGTTGTTCGATATATTTTGTTTAAAAATTTAAATAAAAAATTACAAACTCTTACAAAAGCAACGTTTTGTAAAACGTTGCCTAATTAATAAAATATTTACAGTTTTAATTGTTTATTATCATATTTAGCTTGAACAATCGAATTAAGCGTTTAATGAAAATTGCGGTTCACTGACATATTTAGCAATTTCATTAGGCAATAGGCCAATTAGTAATTGAAATTATACTACACGAATTAAAAGTAATTATTATCACACATTTGATATTATGTATGTAAGCAAATTGCAGTTTGAAAATATTAAACCGAACGTAAATAAACGTTGAAGCATCAATTTTTGCTATTTCATTACTACGAGCACTACACACACACACACACACACACACACACACACACACACACACACAAAATACATTTATTATGCGTACAAATATTATGCGTGATTTATTGAATTAATCAGATAATAATAGATGTGCAATTCCATAAAACTTGGAAGGAAACCGTAGAGTGCGAACATATTACGTAAGAAATAATATCTACACAGCAAACTTGAGAGATAAAAAGAAAACCTTAAAATATATACAAACAAAGGAAATACGAAATAATTGAGTAAAAAACACATGCTGAGCACCGAGTGGTCGACCTTGACTATGATTTTTTTTACTTTATTCGTTACAGTGTCAGAGAGTCCACAGTGAACGGCGTCCTTTCCACTTCAGATTGCAAGGTTTGCAAAGAACCGAAGGACGATTTTGGCTCCTCCCGATACTTCTTTACTTATTAATACAACAAAACCTCCGAAACGGAAGGACCGGCGTGATTCCTGCGGGCAGGAAAGGAAATTGATAAGGTGAGTTCTTACAGCCACTTGCTTTTATCCTCCATGCATTTGTATTTGTTTTCGTTAGAGTGACCGTTACATAAACCGCGTTGACATTTTCCTTTAAAAGAGAGTAGCAATAGCCGATTTATTATCGCCTAGTAGTCGCAAGGTCTTTTACCTATTTGTAATGGGCGTAGCAAATGTGAGAAAATGATAAGAAAATTAAATTCTCATGGAATAACAAGCCGGCATCGATAATTATTAGATCAGCAAGAATTCATGAGAATTACTTTAACTTAGTTACTCAGGATATAAAACGAAAATATTCTCACAATTAATAATTACAAAGTTTAAGCTTGAAAGAAAAAAAACTTCTCGACGTTCTTTGTAAATCACTGGGTGTCCTCCTTGTTGTTCTCTATCTTACATAGAAAACAAGCATTTCACGCGCTTAATTATAGACAAAATTGAGATCAAATAAACAAGCGCCGAATCAAGTTGATGTGCACATCCTCGCTCGCGCACACCCGACCCATTCGCACACTAACAATGCACGGGGAAAAAAGCATAGAAAAATGTCTGAATATTCGTAATACACGTTAAAAGCATAAAACGCGTACAAATGTTTTTTTTTTTTTTTTCTTTATAAATATTCGTTGTTTATTATAAAATGGAAGATTTCACCGATATTTTGTTTAGAAGCAACAGCGAAGAGAGAATTTGGGAGAGCAGTAAGAGAATGACCGGTGATAGCTCAACTACCGATTCCGCCGATACCATTAGGCGGGTTAGCAGTCACGAGGACTTTAATAGTGCAAAACATCATCACATTCTTTCAAAATTGCAAAAAGACATGGGCCACGGACTGGTAAATTTTTTCATTGCTCTTAACTAGCAGCAAATCCTTAATAAATACGCGTATTTACAAATGCTAATGAAATTAATGAAATAATAGTCATGTTGTTCTTATTAGAGAATTCAGCATATCAATAGACTTTCCATGATTGCTTAGAGTTTCATTTTATACATTCGATTCTCTGCTTAAAATTTCCCTCTCTTTAACATGACCAGGCATTGCCATACGCAGTGTATTCATAGAAATACGATTAATCTATTTACAGCGTCATGGAAATCTGCCCCTCTACGAGAGAACCAACGTCTCTCCAGTATCATCTAAGACGTCACTCATCCATTCACCGAACGATGCTGTGCTCGCGACTGAAAAATATGACTGCGACGCAGAACGACTTAGGAATAGCGAGCGATTTAGTAGAAGCGTGACACCGAGGGGCAGGAGGCAAGTGAGAAGAAGAAAACTCCAGAAAACTTCGACGTTTGATTTGAACGCGAGCAAGGTAATTTGCTAATAGGGAGGAACATTCTATGAAGGGAGAATAATCGTAGCATATGATGCGCAAGTCTTAGGGGATACTTATTTCAGAATTCAACTCAAACACACCGGGAATACTGATTGACTCTCTCAATGTAGCTTAATTTGACATTTAGCCCCGAGTTCCTATCACACGCGAAACACGTGGACGAGAAAAACAAAATAACCATTAATAGCGGTATATAATAATAATAATAACAACAACAACAACAACAACAACAACAACAACAACAATTGATTTTAATTTATCACCAATCAAGTTTCTAAAAGCTAAATATTTTTCTATTAAAATGTAATTTCAATATTTTCCTTTCCCTCATTTATTGCGTTACGTATCTAATATACGATAATTTTTATTAATATTTCAATGGGATGAGAACTAATTTAATTTGCTTTTAAAGGAAAATGAAATAGGCGATCCAGAATCTCACGTGCAAAGTCAAAGTTTCTTGGAAATGCTAAACAGCGGACCCAGCAGGTCTCCATCTCCCGTTCGACCACCATCTCTTGAACACGATGATGCGAACAATCCAACCCTGGCCAACTGGGGTTTTCAAATTCGACAGAGAAACGTAAGTCTCTTGGAAGAAGTCAAACTTAATCCAGCGTGATAAATGTTTTATTAATTGAATTGGTTGTTTTCTTTTTTTTTTTTTTTTTTTTTTATCTTAAGGACGAAGAGATGGACGAACGAGTTGAAAATATGGTTTCTCCAAGGAACTCGTTACTAATACCTCGCAGATTTTATGCGGGTGACGAGCACGAAGAACAAGAGATTACCAATGCCAAGGAGTATGGTCTGAAAAATCTGATGAAGCAAATCAATACTTTGAAAAAGAAAATAAAAAAGTATGAGGGTGAATTTGAAGAAAATTTCGGCTATCGTCCCAGCCACTCTGACAAAATGACCAATCGTGATATAAAGAAAATTGTTTCCGAATTGAATAAAGTACGCAAGGAGCACAAAATTCTTAAGGAAGGCTTTGTCAGTACGTTATTGCTAGCGCCGAAATTACAAAGCAACGCCGAAGGTCTAAGTACAGCCAACAACAACAACAACAACAACAACAACAACAACAACAATAATAATAATAATCATAATAATAGCGAGGACAAGTATAGAGCCACGACAATATCTGAAATGGTAAAGGAAGTCGAACGTAAGCTTGCGGAGAAGCGATTCAAGTACAACAGGTCGGAGAATATGGATGAGCTTTCGTACGAGCAGCTTTTGGATGAAAAGACCGCGATGCAGAAATCATTATTGCACATGGAAAATACTTTCGGAAGAGTCGTAACGAAAGAAGACAGAGCTATTATTCGCCCACTGTACGACAAGTACCACACGCTAAAGCGACTATTAATCAGAGCTGGAACTGTGAGATACTAACACGAAATCATAAAATTATTCGTAAATGTTTTTTTTTTTTCCCACACAGCTACAATTATCATTTATCATTGTACAGAATCGATTCAAGGACAGCATATCCGAGCTTGCGACGATATTGGAGCACGAGGCAATGGACTTTACATCGACATCGGCAAACGCCGTAGAATGTGATCGTCGAGCCAGCGAGCCAGACATGTCCCATCGAGGCATTTTGGATTGCATTGATTCTACGGAACAATTACAAACTGACAGTGACAGTCAGCATAGCAGTAGCGAGGGTAGTCGAGGAGTTGTCGAAAGTCTTCATTCCCTTCCAAAGTTTGTTAAATTATCGCTACATATTTTCATATTACAAGCAATCATTTGATCTAATATTGATCGTCAAAAATTCATTTCTAAGGGACGAATTATTGCAACAGCAAAGAATTACGAAAGAAGAAAAAAAGCGTCTGCGAAGAGCGCTGAAGGAGTTGGAAATGCAATTCGAGGCTCGCGCTGGACGACGAATGCAGCGTGAAGACCGAGGAGCACAAGTTAACGTTATTTATGATTCTTATAAACAAACGAAGGCTAAACTCAGATTAATCAGTGCTCTGCTAGCAAAAAGTACTTGAATGCTAAAATACTAAACGATAAATTGAAAAATCTACCGTAAATTCTTAATACTATATTGAAATATTGGATTATTAAGAAATAATTTTTCCATCTTTTAGAGTTTGGAATATAAATATGCTTGTGTACGATTGGCCTATTTATCGTTTTTATTAATTTTTTAACTCGTTGATGACAGAGGTACCTGTACTTATTTAAATTACAATGGATTGCTATTAAAGAAAATAATAAAATGTTGCAGTTTTAGCTTTGAATCTGTACACACGCGCGCGCGCACGCACGCACAGAGAGAGATAGAGAGAGAGAGATATAGAGATAGAGAGAGAGAGAGAGAGAGAGAGACACACACACACAAGTGCGCGCGCACGTACACAAACATGTATAACATATTACGTACAGTAATTTAAACATTATTAGATCAAATTGATTTCATGATACTTATAACTACTACTGTACTTGTAACGCCCATATTGTTCAACAAAATGAGAGTAGTCCGAGAGTAATAATTTTACAACTTATTATAGACAGAGTAATGCAATGTTGTATCTAATAATGAATCAAAACGTCATGTCGTCATATTTGCTAAACCAAGGATTGATTCTTAAAGTTTTTAAACAAATGTTAATGTATACTGTAGATTTATAAGGGCATCTTTTCGATATAATTATTTTGAATTAATTGCTAAGGCAATATTTTATTTTATGAAAGTCCTTTCTCATAATATTTAATATTCGCCTATATTTTCATCATTGTTTCATACAAAATTGTTTTTAATCGAATTTTATAATAATTGTAAATATAACTCGCGCATCTCGCATATTATAAAACCAAAAACTATCGTGTGTTACAACTATCTAAAAGTATTATTAACTGTTAAACAATTTTTAAATTTTTTATATTTGCCGTACTGTTTACAAGTTTATGAAGTTTTTTTTTTTTAATTGTTTATATATAAATAACAATGATAACTATATCTATAGTAATATTGCATGAATCAACAATTTTTGGTTTATATATTTGATATTGCGAATGCGTCGAGAAAGTTAAAGTTTGATGTCTATTAGTATGTTTGAGGGAAATAAGTTTTTAATATATATATATATATATATACTTTTTTTTATTTATTTTTTTTTATAACGTGTCTCCCGTATTTTATTGTCAAAAAGTTCGTAATGAAACTTTTGTATATATATATATATATATATATATATAAAATTTGTTTAGCAATAATAATTCATCTGAAATCACTTCACTACAATTTACTTTGAACAAAATAATAATAAAATAATAGGGTATGAAATGATTTTTGTTGACCAAAGCATTTGTTAGTCTGTGATAAATAAAAAACTACAGTTGGACTACGATAAATGATTTTTCAAATAGTTTAATACCTTAAGTACTGCAGTATTCAATTATTGCTGTCGAGCAATTTATATTTATATTCATTGATACATAATAAAGCT